AATACTAATACTCACTACTATAAGGTTTCACGACACCCCTCCCCTCACGACCATTTTAAAAATTGGAGTAATGTTAACAATTCTCAAATCCTCAGGCAATAACCAGTGAACAATGTGTGACTGGTCTTGGCTTTTTCAGCATAGGATTAATGATCCAAAACATAATGACCCTCTAAGTAAGACATACTTAGAGAAAATAAAAGCAGGGGAAGTAAATGTAAAATAGCAAGCTCAAAATCCTGGCACCAGTTCAAAAGTAATATTTCAAAAGAGAATTCAACAAACCTATGGAAACTTTAAAAGACCATACAGAATAAATTGAAAGAAATACTTTTGCAAAATTACTTCTGCAAGTTATATATTTATGGAGTAGTTAGATGATGAGGTGAGTGTCACTACTTTAAAAGTTGAATTTTTGTTGTAATGGGTATCAGGATGCATGGGTTGTTACTTAATAGTCCAAATAGCTTTCTGCCCATCTCATTTGCATTCCTTTAAAAATGACAGAAGCTATATTTGTTCAAAAATGAATATATTGTTTATGAAATCAAAACATAATAGATGTTAAGTGCCAGACTTAAAAGGAAATGTAATATAATGTGAGCAGCAAAAGTAAACAAAATTATGGACTGCAAAAAGCTTACAATCAATAATTGCTTGATGATATAAGAAATGTCAAATCAATATCACAAAATTTAGCTACTTTTTACTTTATGAAAGGTGAAGGTATTTTATGTATATTTTGTTTTTAATTTAAATATGTACACACACAGCACACATGGCAAATACAATACAGTAAGAAATACAGAGGATATATATCCTTTACGAAATAATATCAGCATCTTGGTTACTGATATGTTTACGATTGTGATAAACATATTCTAAAGAATGTTTAAGTGCTAAAAGCATAAAATATATATATAATTATAAAGTTCCCTTAAGCTGTTGCTTTATCATAAAATTTAAATCTTTACAAAACTGGATAATTACTCAGTGTAATATGATAATTGGTATACTTTATTACTACTGAAACAAATATTTAATGTTAAATAAACAATAGAAATCTTAGTTGTTATATTTTAACCATTATCTTCAATCATTAAAATAATGTAATTTTAGTAGCAAAAATTATCGTACAGTTAAAGACACAGAAATTGTATTTTGCAAGGCTCAAGTTTCTATGCCAATTATAGGTGGATCTGAAATGTTATTTTCACACACCTCTGATTTTGAATTAGAAATGGAGAAATTAAGAAAAATGTGTAAAAAACATCTGCTGTTTATTTGATTTTTGCCACATTTTACTTTTTAGGCCTATGGCTCATACCTATAAACCAATCAGCCTGTGATGTTATTTTTGCAGTACATAAACAAGATAAAGGCAAGTCAAAATTCCTTTTTTTTTTTGTAATGTCACTGTTTAGTATCGTTCCTTAAGCTTGACTGATATACAAGGATAATGATATTTATAGTTTTACAAATTGTCAATTATAACAAAATTAAAAAGCATTTTAATATTAACTACTAAGTTCTACTTCGACTCTAGTAAGTTCTACATTTTATTTTTACTTTCAGTACTAATAAATTTTTATTACAGAAACAGAGAAAAGTTAGCTGTAACTGTAAGATAACATAAGTATTAAAAACGTTAAATAAAACTAAGATTAAGAAAATAAAAAATATATTTTAAAATTTCATGCTCACGAAAGGAATGGTGTTTCTGCTTTCCCGTTTTGTTTTTCTGTCTTGTTAAGAAACTTTCTCAGTTTCTGGCAAACGTAAATCTGAGTCAGAAAAAAAAACTGTAAACACTTGTAAGTTGTAGGCCTATTTTTCTAAAACCGACCATCCACTTCGAAGTTCGAGGAGATGTACAAATCTTTACGCTTGTGACAAGTTATGTTTATAAAACTCATTACAAGAGTGTAAAGTTAATTATACTTAAGCATTCTTTTTCACAAGTTTTAATTTAAGGCCTAAGCCTACTAGTACTATTATTATTGGTTTGATCAAATCAAAATTCACAAATCAAATTCAAAGTTACGTAACCTAAGGTTACAAGGTAAAACAGACTTAACTACGACTAATAATTTTGCTTAATGTCACGCACTGCTAAATTCACTATTCTAAAATGAGTATAATAATTTAAAAATTAAGGCACATATGAAAATTATGTTTGACACTTGAGTTAATATACATGCAAATATACACAATGATTACATAATATTAATACATATGAAGCAATCTTGACTTGGCTATACGTTTCATTTTCCTTTAAGAATTGTCGGTACGGAAAGTTAAATGGAAAAATATACAATTCGATTAAAATAGATATATAGTTATTTTTATATTTCAAAATAAAAACTAAGCGTTCACTACAAAATACATTTCTCTTTTAAATTTAAACTTCATCTATACAAACACAGAAAAAATCCATTAGTGGAAGATATTCTTTCTGTTAAATAATATACACAACTTTTGAGTGGAATCACAAAACAAAAGAGACACTAGTAAGTCTACGGTTGTACAACGCTAAAATCAGGGGTTCGATTCCCCACGGTGGACGGAGCAGATAACTCAGTATAGCTTTACTATATAAAAACACATACACCCCCCCCCCCACACACACACACAAAAATACAAAAAGACACAATTATATTAACACGTGAAAGGCATATAACAGGTCTTCATTATATGATGACAAAATTATGGGTATTCAGGGTCATTTACACTTTAGAGGGCTCTAAACCTATTATTACCTCCCTCCCCCCCCCCCGACTATGTTCAAAAAAGATTAATTATAAGAAGTACTGATGCGCAGGGAGAAAAAGTCTGAATAGAACTGACACTTCTAGGTCGCTCATAACAACATGACCAAATACCAATCACGACGCGACTGATGAGCATAACAATGGCGTGACAAAAAATTCCGGAGACCTCCACCGCAAAATATGGTGATGGGTCCCCTAAGTTCATCAGCACAGGTGATATTACTTTCGCGTGTGGCATTTTTCTTTCAAAATGAAGCCGCAATATACGTCCTAGACACCCGTTAAAAGATATTAGTATTATGCCTATTACATTTTTAAACACTATATTCTTTATCTAGTCCCTTATGGGTTTTCAAGAATTAGAACAGTGAATAATTCTTGAAAATCCCTAAGGGATTAGATAAACAAGTATAATTGTAATCATTTTTCGCCATAACAATTCTTAGACACTTGGTTTTATTATTACAATAATACAGTTTAAGCTCCCCACCTGCCACCGATCTGTTTGTTTATTTGTTTTGAAGCCCAAAGCTACTCAACGGGCTCTCTGTGCTATGTCCACCACCGTTATCGAAACCCGGTTTTTAGCGTTAAAAGCACCACTAATCACAGAACAAGTTTTACATAAAAGGCAGTGTGTGTCACGTAACGTCATGCTCTATTTCTCGAAATAGGTGGAGTTATAAAAGCCAAAATGCATTTATCCAGATAGAATAGTTCGATTACTGTCTGCCCATTACGATTTTAGTGAAGGAGTGCAGGGGGATGATAAGAGTTGTAATCAAAACTATTGGCTAGTTAGTTTTACTCCTGCAGTGGGTAAAATTCAAGAGAGTCTGATAAAAGAAGTTTTACAAAATCATTTAGTGAAATGAGATATCTTAAATGAATGATAACATGGATTCACTAAGGGAAATTCTTGTCTTACTGACTTGTTATCTTTAAGTGTACGAGGAATGCAGTAGAAGTGTGTTGGTTGAAGTGAAGTAGAGCAGGTGTCAGTGGAAACTCTTAAATTGTCCAGCATGTTGGTGTTATAATTGCTAAAATGATTTAAGGTAGGCAATCCCTGAAAAGCTGAATCTGAATGTTTGTTGTCTGAATGTCTATTATCTTTAGTATGATGAAGAAGAAAAGTAGAGTAGCACGTTTTTAAAAAATAGAACATCAATAGATTTTCTATTATAATCTTAGTTGTTATTACAGAACCTATGTAATCTGGCAAATTGTGATTTAGAAATGTTTCTCTTGAGATATAGATGATGATGGCATGGAAATGTAAGTATCGATGTGTGTCCAATGATTTGTAATATACAGTTGTCATGAGATGGCTATCTGCAGTCATGGAGATATTTATGTCAAGAAATTAGATGGTTTGGTAGGAAGTAAAAGATGCATATTGGAGTCATTGGTGAATGGATTTAATAAATCGATGAAAAAGATCCAAGTTCCTCATCAGTACATGTAGCTATGCCAAAAACATAATCAATACACCTACAATAAAAGGCTGGGAAGGCACCTGTGTAATTATGAAACATACAGTCTTCAACATAACCAACAATGATGTAAGCATAAGCATGATCCATTCTGGTTACCAAAAATGCTTTGTTTCTAAAACTTTGCCAAAGTGATTTTTGTATCTAAACCTTATTCTGTATTTGACAACCTGATGATTGTATTTTTTAGGCTTATTCTCAGTCTATTTCCAATGAGAGTATATGAACTGAGATGTTAAATACATAGTGTTCAAAGTGAGGCCTAACAACCATAATGTTAAAATCATCATTAAAACTCTGATGGTACTTGCATAAAAGGCAGTTTATACAAAAAGCTAAAAAAATATAGTTTTTCATAGGTGAACAAGGTCAAGATTTTGACTTTTTTAAAAATAAGTAAATAAAGAATGAAGCAAATGCTATGAAGTAACAAAACAAAGATTGAGCTTTGTGAAAAATTACAGATTTTGTGAACAGAAGACAACAGTGTATAACAAGCCAGGAAGTTATCATACAGCTTTATCTTGACAATACTGCAATTTTAGCAATATCTTTCACTCCTGAACATTAAACATTATCAACACTGTTCTCGATCTGTAACCATGTTTCAATATTTTTATTATACACATGCTTGCTTTAAAGTTATATCCTCTGAGGAACATCACTAGTAATTAATGTTTAGTTTGACTGGAGTCCATTATAAAGAACCTTTTGTTTTCTCTCACTGCTCTTGAATCTAATTATCTAGTCTTTCCCCAGCCCACAATGATGCAATTTTCTTAGCTATTTTAAAATCTAAGTACACAATGTCCACACTTTTCCATGTCCTCAGATAACAAGTAACATCCTTGAAGCATATGGCCAATTCAACACAACTTTCCTAATCTCTAATTTCCTATAAACAAGACACTAACATTAAAGATTTATACAACAGAGTTAGGCCTCTTAACCGTAGAGTGCCAGCATGGTTAGTACACAGGTTTAACTTGTACAAGGCCAAAGTGACTCCACACTGGCATTCTAAGGATTGAAAAGGACTCAAAACCCCTATTAATATTATATACACATCACCATTATAAGAGGCTTAACTGTATTTCTTTGTTGGTTAATTTGAGCTTTGCCTATGAAAGTTTGAATAAGTAAAATTGCAATCCACAACACAGGGTGTGATGAATCAAAGAATGCATTAAGCCTCTAATTTGCAGATTATATTTTCAGTTTTACCTTTGGTTAAAAGAAAAGAAATCTGTTACATAATCATTTCCAAATTGAGTTGTATAAGTCCTTTTGGTATTAAAAAATAGTTCACTTTTTAAAAATTTTTGGAAATAATTTTCTTTTAATGCTTTAAAGTTTGTTCAAATTATTTCAGTGTTCTTCATACTTCTTATTAACTGTTTTTATATTATTAATCATGTTTGATTTATTTATGTTTAATGAAGGTCATTACTGTTTTCTTCACTTTTGTTTTGTTATTACTATGTCTTAATTATCATGTTACATTCTTTTCTTGAGTATTGTTTCCTTTCAAAACATTCTGCAGTAGTTTGTCATTAACCCACTAACTGCTGCAGGAGCAGCTCAGTTGCTGTTTTCTGACTCACAGATAAAACTGAGTTGCCATCAATGACAATAAAATGGTAATTAACATCACTTGCATAGAGTTATAGTTATATATGTGCGACTGACTGATATTTCTGTCATTCGCAGCTGAGTCCATAGAACTTCAATGACGGAAATATCCATCATCTGCAGTTAATGGGTTAATCAACAAGCTTGTTTGTGGCACAAAAACAGCATTTGTTTGAAATGTCACCAAGTTTTAAGAAAATGAAACTAAAGATTTATAAAGTGATTTGACTGATTCCTTTCACTGCATTTAACTCAATGAGGGATCAGGTGTGAAACTGCTAATGAATAGTGGTACCAGTATCTTTGCAGTCTCAGCACTGGGCCAGCATGCTTTGCACTTATAATGGCT